ATTTGTGTTCCATCATTTCACGATAATTTAAAGAACATTTGTTTTTGAAAACTATTTATTGGAGTACACAAAAACTTTTATTTGTTTGGTTTTACTTTGCATTAGTGTTCTATAGTCTATAAATTAAGTTAATAGAAAGGCACTAATGTCAAACAATTTGTGCAGAATTTGTGTGTATTTCACAACTCAGATTTAGAGGTCCTTGTGTTCCATCATTTCACGATAATTTAAAGAACATTTGTTTTTGAAAACTATTTATTGGAGTACACAAAAACTTTTATTTGTTTGGTTTTACTTTGCATTAGTGTTCTATAGTCTATAAATTAAGTTAATAGAAAGGCACTAATGTCAAACAATTTGTGCAGAATTTGTGTGTATTTCACAACTCAGATTTAGAGGTCCTAAAAGGGTTAAAAAGTGCTACAGGATCAAAGGGATAGAGGAAATAGGATAGAGACCAGAGAGTCACCTGGAAAACAGAGAGAGTGGGGTACACAGAAGATGAAAGATAATCAGAACACAAGAGAGAACTTGGACAAAAAAAGTCTGTTTATGAATATAAACCTACAGAATGGATTAGAATTTTTAAATGGACAATCTCTAAACTTTCAATGAATATTTCAATTACATACACATTAGAGGACACACTACTTGTTGATATGGTACCTTCCTTTATTTTATGTATAATTACATGTTTACTAATACTGAACATTGTTCTGGTAGGGTTATTTTCTTTGACAGATAAACTAAATAATTCAATCTACAAAAAAAAGTTTGTATAAAAATAATGTACCTTGAGGACATTGTGTAACTGCAATTAGGCATGTCAGGGTGTCATAGTGAATAGTACTACTACTCAGGTAGTTGGAACAGGCACAAAGTCACGCAGAATGACATGCTCCCAAATTTCACAGTTTAAACTGCTTTTGTCATTTCAGACTTACTGCTTAAATAGGTATCCATTTCTACAGAAGAAGCTGGATGGGCAAAAAATGTAGTTGCCTATGATGTACTATATGCTGTAACCATTCTTTGAGTCTTAAAAAAACAAAAGTCACATGTAAAAAGTATCATCTCGTTTTAGTTGGTAAACTAATTAAAAGAGTTAGAATTAAAATAGAGGGCTTTATCAAACACCCCAAATCAGAAAATGTTCTGTAACAAAAAAATGCAAAAAAAGCCGTCAGCTGGCTAGAAACTCCGCTCTCACCTATATCTAATAGTATTCCTCTTATTTTGTTCACTGCTTTACCTCACCTTTACAGATGACATTTTTAAACTATAAAATGGTCTGTGCTTTAAAACTTTCTTGCTTCAACAATTTCTCATTGCTGTAAGAATAACTCTATATCCTTTGTTACTAATATACTCAAACTTATTGGTATGTGACTTTGACTCAAGGCTGAGAACAGGCTATAAATTTAGAAATCAATATCTAACTCTATCAATATTCATTTTACTTTTTCTTTCAATATAAAATACAAAGGTGAAAGAGCAGTAAATAAGCTAGAGTACTGAAATAAATTGGGTGTTCTTGTCACAATTAATAAATGTTTACCCAATAACACTGCTAGCTACAATAGTCTACAGCCTTGTAAAATGTCTGAGAGAATGTATTAGCACAGGTGCTAACTCGACTATTCACAAAAATACACACAACATATTTCCATAGTTAATTAGCAATCACCAGTAATTCTCCTTGATACTATTTATCCCAAATATATAAAAACATACTGTGCATATTGCTATGGAAATGCATTCATCAAACAATTTCTTCAAGAAACACAGAGTGGGATTATGGAATTAAACTGCTTTGCTCATATACCTGGATGACATCCTAGATCACGCTTTACTAATTTGTAGTATGTGAATCATATCTCAAAATGAAGCTTATAGTTACTTACTGATCTATAGTTACTCTTTCAGCTTTCACTATTGTGCTCAATTAGGAAACAAATTACCGTATATACTCGAGTATAAGCCGAGTTTTTCAGCACAGTTTTTGTGCTGAAAAATGCCCCCCTCGGCTTATACTCGAGTCAGCCTCCTGCTCGCGGGCGGGCTCAGCGCGTCTCTGCCGCCGGCCGGGTCTAGACGCGTGAGCCCGGAGCTCCGGCCCCCCAGCCCCTGCCCTCCTGGCCCTTCCGGCCCCTGCCCTCCTGACCCTCTCAGCCCCCCTGTCCCCTTGTCCCCCCCAAGCCCGGAGCAACCTTAAAGAAAAAACCATCATTGCTAGTTTGGGATATGTTCAGAGCCCACACATCTGATGACATAAAAAAATTGGCAAAGTCTTCTCAAGTTACTTTGGCAGTTATTCCAGGTGGGCTTACATCTGTATTGCAGCCCCTAGATGTGTGTTTAAATAAACCTTTCAAAGACCGTGTGCGAAAGATGTGGCATGAATGGATGTCATCTGGTCAAGCTCGACTGACAAAAGTTGGAAATCTGAGGAAGCCAGACATAGAATTGATAGCACAGTGGGTTCGTGATGCATGGGAAGAGATTCCAGAGGACCTGGTGCAACGCGCCTTCAAGAAATGTGGCATTAGTAATGCTATGGATGGCAGTGAAGACAGCGCTTTGTATGAGAACGACAGCAGTGATGGTGATGACTGTGAACTCAGTGATGATGACAATGTCTATGCTGATAACCTCACACCAGCTGAAGCTCTGTTTGGACATACAGATGATGAGGAGGAGAACTCCAGTTTTGAAGGATTTTAGCTCTTGTGTGTTAGCTTGGTTGCTGATTGAGCTAAGGTTGTTGTACTTTTAAAGTTACGGTATTTTTGATACCATATTGTTTTTGTTGACCCCCTTTTCCACTTACAGAGCTAGGTTATTGTTTTTCTTTGAAATAAATATTCATGTAATTTTATTGGTATCTATCTTCATTTTTTACATTTACCAGTAGCTGCCTCATTTCCTACCCTAGGCTTATACTCGAGTCAATATTTTTTCCCAGTTCTTTGGGGTAAAATTAGGTGCCTCGGCTTATATTCGGGTCGGCTTATACTCGAGTATATACGGTAAGTACTGAAGGACTCATTCTGATTGAGTATAGACACAACAATCACTGTCATTGTTGTCTATGTGGCTTTTTAAAAGAAAAATATTTCCATATTAATAAAATTTTTTAGTTAATCCCAATACATTTATTTCTATACTTTAACTATGGAGATCAGATGGGGGAAAAAATCCTAACCAGGACAATGGTAATTTGTCTCACTCTAAATCCCTTGTTGGAATGCAATGACATAAATTAGAAAGCTAAATTCACACTAGTTGTACAGTAGCAAACACAAGTCTTTTTCTTTGATTTTGTATTTTTTTAAAAGGCTCTTTGTCTCTCAGTTTGACAAAAATTCTTTAAAAAATGTCCAGTATATTGTGAGGATGTCACTATGTATAAGAAACACTGAATGGTTATATGAAATACTTAAGTGACTTCATTAATCAAAAGACTTGTTTTGCAAATTATGCAGGGGAGTCAGCTTATGAACAATGGAAGTCCACAGTAAAGTGTATGATACAATGAATTTAGCTATGCCTTATACTAATTCTGTACAAACTACTTCCTTTGATACTTGCAAGCTGCGAAGTCAAAATCACCTTGTAAAAGTAATTATATTATCTTCTCCTCAGCCATTAAAGTATTTTCCTGCTCACTACACATATGTTCAGAGTCTTAGGCTATGACCCAAGCATTTTCTTTTTTCATAGTGCTTCCACTGAGATTTCTGAGATTGTTTTTTCGTCCATTTCTGTCACTGATGTCTGAAACATTGAAATACTGAGGAGGCCATTCAAGGGGAATGCGTACATTAGGTTGCTCTAAAGAATACGTGGGACAGATTTAAATCAAAAGAATTGTATGCATAAACACATTGTATATAATAAGGTAGTGTAAGTATATGATGCTAAATAGCAATATATACTTACATGTAAAGTCCAGAGGCTCTCAGACTATAAATATGTGAAATATATGAAGATAGACAAATAGAGGTATTCACCAAAAGATGCACAACCACACCCTCACAGCATGAATATATATAAACAAACTGATGGGAATCTTGTAAATCAGAGCCAAGTATTAAAAAAGTCATTTCACAGCTGTAACACCAACAAAATGCATGCAACGGTTATGACCTTGCATCTATAAAAATCTGAAAATGCACCTGTAGGTGTTAGCCATCTAATGTGCTGCACTAATTTTGAATATATATTTCATATATTTGACTCCAAACTTTCAATGATTTGCCTACCAATTCACTGTTTTCTTCTTGTATGGTGCATTATATTTCTTGTATGTTTTCATATACATTCTTTATT